CGCTCCTGTTAGGGGTGTGTCTGCAGCAACGGCTTGGTGCAGCAGCAGCTGGGTTTCAGGCTATGCAAGAAACGTCCTCTGGAGACATGGTGCTGGGATTTGTGGTTGTGTTTCTATTGCTCGGTGTATGCAGCATTTACACGTGGGCATGATTTGGAATGGATAGCAGGGTCTCTCACAATGGGGTGCAAGGCGCCTGCTGCCACGCGGACAGGTCAAGAAAGGGCATCTGTTCTGCACTGGCTGCATGATAAACTACAGAAGGGGAAGTGCATCCAGGGACTCTGTAACTGTGCTTCTCTTCTGTGAGTCTGTTGCTAACTCTGGGACCCCGCCGGGGCTTTCCTTTGCTCACTCTGCTCGGGCTGCTTGATCTGAGCTGTGCACTGTTGGCGCAGTATTTGAGTCACCAGGAGCTTTTGGGAATTCTACTCCTCTCAGATCCAGGTGCCCAGTTGAAAACTGTCTCATCTCTGTTACAGCCCAGTTTGTCCACTGGAACTGTCTCACCAGAGAGCCGGGCGCTGCGGATTTGTTTGTAGACTGGTGGTGTTTGAATGCTGTCTTCTCTGGTGTGGCGGTACTAGGTTCTCTGCCCTTGCCCTGGTTCAGTGTGTGCCAGCTCCCTGCCCCTGCTCTCTGAGAGCAGCCACTGTTGGAAGCATGTTCAGAAAGCAGCACAGGTCACATGCAAAAGTTTATAAATGGTGAAGGGTATTTGTTGACTTTGTGTGTTGTCTTAGGGACCAGCTTAGTGTGAATGTTCTGGGCTTGTCAAGGCCTTCCCCTCTGAGTGATACACAGGGAAGTGCAGTCCCTGCCACCCAGCGCATTGGGTGTGTCCACATGTTCCACTGATAACAGCTGCCAGGTGCCTGCATTGGGGTAGACAATGTCACAGTGCTGGGATGACCGGGACTTGGCCTTTAGCCACTGGTGGTGTTGGGAGCCTCTCTGAATGGCTGGTGATAGGACAGGAGGGAACTTCAGTGCATCTGGAAATCAAATCTTTAAAAACAAACTGACAAGTCTGTAGCTACAGTGCAGTTCATTCTAATGGCCTCTGACTGCGGGGAAACCTGCACTCAGGCCCAGAACAACCTTAGGAAACGATACTCACGGCCCAAGGGGTGTCCATCCCGA